TGTGTGTGTGTGTGTGTGTGTGTGTGTGTGTGTGTGTGTGTGTGTGTGTGTGATTGTTAAAGTGCAACTTTGTTGGTAGGATTAAACTGCCAAAAGCTTTTTCAGGCTCAACACCCTGGGCTTCAAGTTCCCCTCATCCAGGCCCATCAACACTTTCTGGGTGAAGTTGAAAGTGTTGGCCAAGTCTTTTGGGTAGCTCAGATGCAGGGCAAAGGTCAGTGCAAAAAGCAGGATGAATGCGTCAGCCAGTGTGGGGAGTTCCATAACTCCGTTACCCTCAATGACAACAGCGATCCTCTCTGGGCAGAAGAGCGTGGCGTCTGTTGACCTGGCACTGATCATGAGAAGTCCGACCGCGATGCCCTCTGTGTCTGGATCATCAGACTGCTCCACCTGATGACAAGAACAGATAAACGTTACCCAAATTGCCTTGCCTCTCTCAGAAATGTTTTTTATGAAAAATACATCAGTGACATATCACATCAAATAACCGTATGTTTTGTGCATAATGTGGGTTTAAGGAAACGCCTATTAGCATTGCACAACATAATGTTACAGCACTAGAAACGTCGCCTCCAAAATAACCAATCAGTTGACATAAATGCTTTCAACAAAAAAACATGTATAACCTTCATAAGGGTAGGATTTATTTTATCACTGTATTAGACTGTTACTATTAGCTAGTTGTACCTAATAAACTGGCAACTGAATATGTATTTACAGTATAATCTCTCCCTACGACACATACAAAAAAATATGGGGAACACTAGAGATTATTTTCTATTGAACACTGATGCTGCAGGAAAGAAAGCCCTCTCTTGATTGTGTATTTTATTAAATCACATGAGCCCATTTTTTACACTGAAACCTAGAGCTTAATTTCGAATAAATCCTTAAGTAGAAATCATATTCAACACCTCTGAAGTGTTGAAGTAAAGGGAGATTATGTTCAACATGTCCATTGTGTACCTTACAATAATTACAATTCTTATGGCAATATTCAAATCTTGGAACTAGAACCTGAATGGGATGTGAGCAACACAAGAGATAATGTTTGATTAACAACACCTCAGTGACAGAATCAAGCTTTGATGACACCAGGACAGTTCATACTTTTTCAAACTAAATCTATCATTTATTATAATTTTTTCACTATAACAATTCAAATAATTGTCTCCCTGTGATAGAGCTCCTGAAACAATGTAACAAGATAAACTATATTTTTGGATGATCTGTCACATACATTCAAAACAGTTATTATGCTGACTTACATGCCACAGCCTCAGAAACGTGGAGTCATCTTCATGCAGATATGCAGGCAGAGCACGGAGGACAGCAGCACGGAGGACATGGACGTCACCTTGCTCCTTGAGTGTGAGAACATATGTTTTACTTTGGATGCAAACAGTATAACCACACAACAATTGATATCACAAGAAAGGGCTCTTCCATGACTGAAGAGATTACCATTTTGACAAAGATAATCCACTCTGAGATGAGAATAAAACACCAAGAGGCATAACCGACTCACCTGGAGGTCATAGGAGGCGAATAGCTGATCCAGAAGTTCAGCTTCCTTTCCTTTGCTTGCCGCCTTCTTCCTGAACAGGCTCGGAAGACGGGGGGGGGTCTATCCAACTCCGCATAGAAGTGGTTCTTCAGGTTGAGGTTTGTTATCCTGTGAAACTCTGCACAAATCTGCCAAAATATAAAATGACTATTTAATTCACAGTACAATGTATATGTGGACTGAAGGCAGCAGAGATAAACGGAAGCATAACATGCTAAATCTGAGTAAACATGTCAAAGTTATCAGTGACAAAAGGCACACAAAATAATTATATAGTTGTAATAAATAAAATATTTTCACCTGTGACTCCATTTTCAAGGCAGGCCAGCGTTCCAGGATCTCTCAAACAGGTAGCTCATCATTGATGATCTCATTGCGCCGCAGGGCAAAGGTAGTCTGCATTAACTTTTAAATCAAGGGAATAATAATGTTATAATGTTCAAGTAACTCTGCCCTTGTATCAAAGACAGCAGTACAAAGTTTGCATCTCCAAGCCATTGGAAAACGTAACCATATTCACAGGCACCCTACAAACGGCGGCGTGCGTTGACGCTTGCCTGCGGGCATGTCAAGACCAACAACCAATCACATGAAAGCTACGCTTTGCTCCCACAATGCAGTTCGGCTAAGCGTGACGTCACCCCATTCAAAGTGAATGGGCAGAAGCGTCAACGCACGCCGCCTTGTGTAGGGGCAGTTTCTCTACTGTGACGGCCCGTCTACACTACAGGCATCGAAAAAGCTTGAAGCTGGGCGTGTCTGAAGCTTGGCGATTTTTTGCTAGCAACGCGACCAACAACCAATCACATGAATCTTCCGCCCCTGACATATAAAGCAATAGCAATGTTAAAATAAAGTAAACTGGATATAAAATCCCCAAACAGGCGAAAACCTACCAGTTTCACCCACTGTCTCTGCCACCTCCCTCCATGCCTGGTTCCTCCGGTTTGTATCCCGGTAAATAGTTCTGGTCGGAAAGAACCGGGTGATTTGCTACCGTAATTTCTCGTTTGGAATATGAGGAAATGAACTGCGGTCTGGCTCTCCCAGCTTGAACGCGGTTTGATTGGCTAGCGCTTGTAATGGCGGGAATTGCAAAAACGGGATTTGATTGGCTGACGCCAGCTTCGAGCAAGCATCTAGCCTCAAAAGTTGAACATTGCGCTTTTCTTCTTTTTTGTTACAGCATGCATGTCTGTGCATGTTTTATTAACTTAGAGGCATATAAGTTACAGGGTTCGTACGGGTGCTTGAAATCCTTGAAAATGCTTGAAATTTGACGTGGTGTTTTCAAGGTTGGGAAAGTGCTTGAATTTTGGGAATGGTGCTTGAAATTGAGATAAAGTGCTTGAAAATGTAAATGCTTTACTTTTACAATAAATGTCTGTCTGACTGAATAGTTCGCTTTTTAGATTAAAAGAAAATAATTGCTTCGCTTCTACATAAAACAGCTCCGCTGCACCTTCCCGCGCTATGCGCGCGACCTGCAAGTGTTTGTGTTGTATGTGACCTGGGTATTCTGATGAGAGTGATAGATGTGTGCCAGGAGGTTGCAGTTTCAACAAGCGTTGGCTAGCAGAAGACAAATACAAGCCATGGCTAAAACGAGGGTCAAGCCCACGAGTAGCATCCTGCAAAGTTTGCAAAAATAACGATGCGAGAGTCTGCACTGACGAGCCACATGAAAGGTACGCCATAGTAGAGCATTTTAGATTAGGCTAATGTTGCATGTTACGTTTGTTTAAGACTTTAAGCTAACGTTAGCGAGCTGAATAGCGAACTCGATTGAGGGATAATAATAATTGCAGGGGACAATCATTTCAGAGGAGCGTACCTATGCTATGTGCGTTACAGTCGCCATCCTGTGGTGTTCAGAGGATGAAGCACTCACGGCATTTCGTGTTATAGTCACGAAATATAATCTATTGATTCGACACAGAGCGATTTTGAAAGCAAGGTATTTCTACTGGTAGTATGTTTCGTGCCTAAACCAAATGTAACTTGCTCTATCGAAATCAGTCACATTGACCCGAAGACACATTTTCGTTTGTATTACTGGTCTGGGGGAAGCTCGCGATTGTGTGTGTGTTTGTGTATTTTTGCGTTTGTGTACCGGGGAAACACTCTCAAGAAACACCGGCTGTTGTTATGCTTGCTGTGACGTTACATTAGTCCGTTCTCTGCTTGCAATTATGCCGAAGCTTCAAATTTGTATTTATCATCTGAATTTGCCGAAACAAGTTTAATATTCTGAAAGCCAAGACTTTGTTTATTTGAAAACAGATGAAAACAAACTGTCTTTATATAAAATTGAAGTATTATACAAGTAAAACTACATTTTGCTTTAATCCCATGTAATTGTAGAATAAACACAGTCTTCCTTTGAAAATGTATAAGTCAGGTGTCTTGAGTAGTCATAATTACAAATCATTGTACACATTTGTAAATATTTTTTTCCACTTGTTACCATTGTGAGTCTATTTTTATGCAGCTCTGTGTGATTTTGTGGCTACAATTCAGACTAATACACTACCAGAGGTGGAATAAGTACTCAGATATTGTACTTGAGTAAAAGTACAAGTACTCAGATCTTGTAGTGAAATTATAAGTACTCAGATCTTGTACTTAGTAAAAGTAGAAGTACCAGAGTGTAGGAATACTCTGTCACAGTAAAAGTCCTGCATTCAAAATGTTCCTCAAGTAAAAGTAGAACAGTATTATCATCAAAATATAGTGAAAGTAGCGACAGTAAAAGTAGTCCTATAATGATTGATCATGAAAGTGTTCTCAAAGCTGGTAAAGGTGCAGCTAGTTTGAATGACTTTGTATACTGCAGGGTAGCTTGTGGATTTACTCCAGGTGGAACTAAAGTCTGATTCAACACTTGATTATATTTCACATCATTCATCCACATCTGTGAAGTACCTAAAGGTATTAAATACATGTAGTGGAGGAAAAGTACACCATTTACCTCTGACTTATGTTTACTGCCAAACTAAAAGTACCTCAAAAATAGTAACCAATAATGTATTGAAAAGTGATGTGGCTGATTGTTTTATATTGGCTCAGCCAGGTTATATGGGATGCCTAGTCTACGTACAGATCACTAATTTTGAAATATTAAACTTAATTTTCTTTTCTTTAATTGTTCATCCTCGTGTAGAAGGCAACACACATTTGGTTGTTTATAGCATAAAGAACATCTGATTTAATCAACCCTGTCTCCTAAAAATTACGTTCCCACAGAACTAAACTGCATTCTCAATTACGTTTAGCTAGAAACGTATTTTCTCCCACGTTACGTTCGTTATGAACGTATCTCAAATACGTTTATTTTCTACATATCTTCTAGAAACATATTTTCTCCCACGTTACGTTTCTTATGAACGTATCTTAAATAAGTTTATTTCTACATATCTTTGCCATTTATTGTCTTGCTTATAATAATGATAATAGTCATTTATAAATATCATTTTGGAGCATACATTTGAAATCAGTAGGCGAGGCTGTAATTTCGCCAGCTGTTACTCTCATGAGCGAGGCAGAAAATAATAGTTTTAACATGCCAAAAAGCTGCTGTGTCGTTTATTGCACCTCAAACATTAAAACAAATCCAGAGTTACGTGTTTCTGTACTTCCTCTAAGAAGAAAGGACAGTAACAGAAGATCTCTGTGACGCCAGATGTGGTGTTGTTAATGCAATATTTTATCCGAAAAAAATTCAGTTTAGGATGGCCGAAGACACTACACTACCCATAATCCCCAGCTATCGTTTGGGACTACAGTCCCGTTGACAAACCCCGTGATTAATCTTCAAGCTCTGGGATTGGATGTTGGAGTGGCAGTGCGCCAAGGTTACGCCGAGCGTCAAGCTCTTTGAAATGGAACGAAACCACGGCAGACTATTCAAAACTGGACTTGAACACCCCCCCCAGAAATACACTAGATGGCTATTGTGTTTCGCAACATGTTATCTATGGCACGTCTCTACTGGGAATTGTAGTTTTAAAAGACGTTTTCGTTTTTCCCAAAATTTGAAGTTGACAGTATTAAACTGTGTACAGCCCTGGAGGTTTAGGCGATAGGAAACACATTGGTGTGTACACATTTAAAACATGTAATTACTAAATGGGTGAAAATCGCTTGTATCCATAATGGCCAGCATTAATATATACCCACATGACAGCTCATTGTTACTTTGTAATTCTATTCCACTACAATTCAGAGGTTAACCTGGTATTTTTACTCCACTACATTTATTTGAGTTACTTTGCAGATTCTGATTAATGATGTGAAATATAAACAACCCTTAAATCAGACTTTAGTTACACCTGAGTAAAATTCAGGGAAGGTGATTGTCAAGTGCCAACAATCAGGAGAGATATTTGATAGTTGGTGCTTGAGAAGACTAAACATGTATCTGCAGATCCGTATAAAGCATATTCATTACTCGTTATTCTCTACTAATAGTTAATTAAAAACTGTATATAATGGCTGTTTTGCACATCCCTTTCAAGATTTCAAGATTGTCTAAGGTTTATTGACATTTCATATACACAAATGGTGTAGTTATGCAATGAATGAAAAACTTGGGTCACAGGTTCCTCAACAGTGCATTACAAGACATCTATCAATATGTGTGTAACCTCCACCATTAAACTGTCATATTCTGCACATTTCTTATACACTGAACAAAAATATAAACGCAACACTTTTGTTTTTGCTCCCATTTTTCTTGAGATGAACTCAAAGATCTAAAACATTTTCTATATACACAAAATAACCATTTCTCTCAAATATTGTTCACAAATCTGAAAACATCTGTGATAGTGAGCACTTCTCCTTTGCAGAGATAATCCATCCCACCTCACAGGTGTGGCATATCAAGATGAATAACAACGGACCATATCGCCTTTCTGCCAGCCCACGGAGCTGTAATAATGGATATATTGCACATGTTTGCTGTAATTCATCATTTGTAAAATATTATACTACATGGGCTGTATGATTAAATCTTGTACCGTAAATGTTGTATTAAATAAAGTTAATATTACCGAAGTAGATTAACGTTCCTGTATTAACGTTCCTATTGCACTTGCAATTGTTTTAGTTACTTGTGGGCTAC